CAAATACAACTTGGAAACACTTGTAAAGATGCACATTAATGTAGAACATGTAAGGCAAGTTGTTTTGTGTCTTTTTATGTTTTACCATCATAGTACTTGATATGAGGGACATTATGCAGTCATGCTTGTGTCTGTGACTCTTTAGACTGATCTTGTGAATGCAAGAGACTGTATCTGTCCACCTCAGGTACCCCATACTATATAATAGGATTTGTTGTGTCTTACTGCATGCATTTGTATTTAAGTGATTGTTTTTAATTCTGGTAGCATTCTTGTTAATATAAAATAACAAACTACAAATGCTGTGAGCACACACAGTCATAAAAGTGGACCAAGAATCTGGTGTTGATAAAATTATCAAATGACATAAAGGCCTATTTGTGGCTCTCTCCTCCTTCAGATTGACCACATGGTGAAGGGCCACGCTGCCTACACTCAGCTCCAGGAGCAGGCACAGCAGAGGTCAGCTGACGTGTTGCACGCCACACATACGTGTCAGCACAGGTGTCATCCCAGTTCTGTTTAGGAAACTTTAGGAAGATTTGAAGCTTGTATGTTCTCTATTATGTGGTAGTTCAAAATGAATAAATATAATTCCCGCATTATTTAATGGTTTGATTTTCTTGACATTTAACTAGAATTAAACAAAGATGCCGTGGTACTCGCTCAGTCACACGTGCTTTTCCTCCTATGACAAGTTGTATTGTCTTCTGTGAAAAAACCTATAGCATTATGATTTTTAACATTTTGGATCTTGTTTCATCAGTTTCCTTACTTTCCTTTTTGTCAGATTTCCCTTCACGGGTGAGAACATCTACAGCTACCTGAACAGCCACCTGAGTTTAATGGCTGCCTCCAGTTCCTCTGTTGACCTGCTGGGATCCAGTCTTCATTTGTGGCCAGACTTCCATGGGAACAGATCTCCCCTGGCTGATCCCACGTTAAAGGGCATGGTGAGGGGACATGACTCCAGGCTTGAAATTACTTTATGATACAAAATGTTATTTAAAGCATTAAGTCTATGACTGACCTACAGAGGTGGAATGATATGACGCTCTTATAACCTTTAAACATACTCAAAGGGATTAGAAGTATATAAGATTATAAATCAAACACGGCAGAGGTGTGGTCTGTCTGAAACACCGCCAGAAAAACTTAACACAAAAAAGAAAGAGAAAAAAGAAAATCAGAAATTTAAGGATACATGTTTAATTATATTAAATGAAAAAAATGAAAAAAGAATGTATGTTGAACTATGTTATAAAACTGACCAAAAAGAAAAATACTAATGCTTGATTACAATATTAACAAAACAAATAATAAATAAAAACACATTATTAAAAAAACAAAAAAAGGAAAAGGGGTATAAATAATCAATAAAACAAATAACATATATTTGTAATTATATGCACTACACTGCACTACTGTTTACTTATCAGGTTAGAAGAACTGTTGCATTGAACCTCATTTATATACCAAGAGCTGCCTCCAGTGGTTGCTCAGTTAAGATAATGATCAGCTTCTAGTTCTATCACTCATTTTCCATAAATGAAGTTAGCATGCTAACCAGCTAGCCCCACCTCATCACTTTCATCACCTTCAGATCAGTCTGCTCTGAGGTAGAGCCGCTCAGCGGGGCGGCAGACCCTCTGTCTCTAGTCACCAAGTTAATGGCTCAAAGTCTATACTTGCAGTACAGACATGAGTGGTGTCAATCTTTTCATCTAGCTCCTGGAGATAGTGATTAACCACATATCGAGAAATGTTTAACCACATTATAACAAAAGTCTGTTTGCATGAATCACTGTTTTGCAGGTTATTGGACTGTGTTTCTCGCAAACATTGGATGACTTGGCTCTGCTCTATTTAGCCACTATGCAAGCCCTCGCTGTAAGTTTGACTTCCTCTGAGCCTCTGTTTAACATCATCGCACCTTACAGAGGGACGTTGTATTTGTTTACCTGTAACCTAAATAGTCTTGTGTTTCCTTCTTTGGTTTCAGCTCGGTACACTACATATTCTGGAGGCCATGAAGGGAGCAGGACATGACATCACAACCCTCTTCCTGTGTGGGGGACTCAGCAAAAACTCCCTGTTTGTACAGATTCACGCCAATGCAACAGGTAGGAACTGTCAAAAAGGATAATAATAGTATGTTTTATGCATATTACTTTGCTCCACTGATATTATAATAAATGTACCTCAATAATTAATATTAGATTAAAACATTTAGTGAACTAACACTGGTAAAACAGAATCTACAATGACGGCTCTTTTACTCATTGCACTTTTCTTTAACATGATCACTGTCAGGACTGCCTGTGGTGTTACCAGACCAGGTGGAGGCTGTGTTAATAGGAGCAGCCATTTTGGGAGCGTGTGCATCACAGGACTTCAGCACTGTACAGGTAGAGCGGCACACACACACACACACGCGCACGTGCACACACGCACGCACACACACGTGCCCGACCAATAGGTATTCTCTTTTTACATGTAAGATTCCTTACATGTTGTTATCCTACTATGACTATAATTGAGGCTTGATATTTTTTACAGTTTAACCTTTATTGTGAATAAAAAGAAATAAAAAAATATATTAAACTTGCAATAAGAAAATAAACATGTTATAGAAATAAACATAATTGCACATCTTTTCTGAATAGTTTATTCTGTAAAAATAGAATTTGTCATATTGGGAAGACATAAATTCTGATGCTGATATGTCTGTGAAAGGTTCAGTTGGGTTCTAGTATGTGTGTATGTATGTCCGCCACTGCTGGTGATTCAGGATAATGAAAATGGGTTACAAGTTTGGAGAACCATATGTTTAGCTTTACTTATCCATTATCTGTGCCGCTTTGAGGGCTGTGGGGGGAGCTGGAGCCAGTCCCAGCGTATCGCAAGGCCAGCACACAGACAAACCACAACTCACAAAAACAACATGCACACATTTTTTAACAGACTCAATGCCTCCATCTGCTGGGTGCTGACTAAGTTCTGTCACAGAGAAGAGCCAGATTCTTAAGATATAAGGGAGGATCAGTTCTCTGCTGGGTCAGCTTATCGTTCCTTGCCTTCTCAGTACCGGAGCTCAGAGAATGACAAGCCTTTAAGCCCCATATACTAAAAATAAGACGTTATTGTTTGGACTAGGCTGCACCTGTCAAACCGTTTTCAGCCGTAACTGCAGCAGCCAGTTGTTGTGTCTGATCCTCTGAGCTGCACGGAGTCAACCGGCTGGATTTGGTGGCTTTAGACGACAGAGAGGCCCCGCGCTGCATTAGTCATAAACTCGGCCGTGCTGTAACCACTGCAGCTGGCTTTTGTTCACACTGTAACTGGGTCAGGGCCGGCCTGAAACTGAATGAGTGTAACATGATTTATTGAGTCACATTTTCCTTTGAAATCTATGTTTTTAGGAGGCAATGGAGAAAATGGCAAAAGTGGGGCGAGTTGTTAAACCTGACGATAAACTCCAGAGGTGAGAGAGAAAAAAGTCAATGTTAGTGTGATTTTTATGTTATTACATACATTTATATAGAATATAGAGTAGAACCTCAACAATTTTCGGCTAGAGTCCCTCTTTTCGTAAACAGCTTCTATAGGAACCACTTTTGACTGAATTTCTACCTGTTCTTTTTCTTTTATGTCTTATTTCTAATCTGAGTTACAAAAAAACGTACAAAATAGCGCCTTTAGCTATAGAGACTGATTTACTTTTCTATGAAACGATTCCACTCAATAAGAGTGAAGCCAAAGATTATTATAGAGCCCCTTTTTATCTTGTGTACATGAGATAATTTACTGAAAATCCATTTGCATCTCTAACAACTTCAGAAGCACACTGGGATGGAGAGAGCTCAGCTAATCAAGTTTTTTTCCCACCGTGTCATATAATATACAGTAACTCTCATTGAAAGCCATAAAAGCAACTTTTGGTGTTTTCAAAGCATTTGCCAATTATTCCTTTACCATGCAGGTATATTAACTTTTTCCAACAAGGTAACTATCTTGTGCAAGCAAGTTATTTATTCACAAAATAAAAAACACAGTTAGGACTTAAAGGGCTCCTAAAATATATATATTATTGCCTTCTCGAAGACTACATTTTCCAGGTTGAAATTAAAATGAAAAATTGAATATACATTAATATGTGTTTATATTTTGAAAATATTTTCTGCATATTATATTTTTTCAGCTTCTATCAGAGAAAGTACAAGGTGTTCTTGAGGCTTTATGCCCACCAGAGGGAGTACCAGGCCCTCATGAACGATGGGTGACTGGCCCAGCTGATGACTCTGTGACGTAAAACAGAAGATGGCACCACACACCGCAAACAGGAACAGACGTCTGAACCCTGCTTCAGTATTATTCCGATTCTTTGTTTTTAATGAACTGAAGGAAAACAGATCCACTGCTGCAGCATGATGCAATTGTTGAAGCAATTGTGGCAGCATCAACAGTGTTTTGGGACTCACCAGAAGCCTCTGCCCCACCCAAGGTGACAGTGCCATGAAATACTGTCAGCTTCAAATATATAAATAAATAATTGAAATTACAGAACAGTGCTCGTGTCTTTCACTGCCACCACAATCTTTAGTAACTTCAACATCAACAGACACTCGTTCATTTTTAAACACCTTGTCCTTTGTTCTCCCCTCGCTGCATTTCATCTTGTCCTTCCATTTCCTGCTAGTAACACCTCCGCCGTCCTTACATTCTCCTGTCGGCCGCTCACAGAGACGAGCTCGCTGCCAGCAGCTCCCAGGATCAGAGTTGATAAGCTCTCCACTGATGTTGTCGACCAAGCAAAGGGGAGAACGGCAAATCCCACACAGCTGAGTTAACAGTCAGCCGCCTTAAAACAACTAACTTGTGAAGGAGAGGGCTAACTGAATCAGAGAGGTGTCAGTGCTGTGACAGAACAGGTTCTCCGTCGCTACACTTCAGTCATATACTGTAGGTGGTTTACTGAGAGATTCATAAAGCAACCACAATGTTTTTATTTATTCACACAGGTGAAATGCATACATCACACACTCTACCATTAAAATGCAAGTGCCATATTATTTTCAGTCAATTCATCTGCTTTACCTTACACTACAAATGCTCAAGTTATTCCAATAAGTTATTTGATAATAAGACAATTCTGCATTTTTTCAAACTGTATAATATACACATGAAAATTGAGAGGGAACTGTGTTCAATGCAGCCATTATCTCATTCTGTGTGTAAACAACCACAGGTTCCACTTCCTCTTGCACCGGTCTATAAAAAACAAAGTGAACATAATGCATATGACAATTATTTCAAATATTGGTTCAGGAAACATTTTCCCAGGAAATAACTGAAGGATCTTGATGGAACATTTTGAGAACTGGTATCTACTGTATGAGTGTGAAAGTTGGTGCAGAATTGATTGAACTAAGGGGCCTTGTGCTCTACTGAGTGTTATTTTAGTTTCTTTGTCAGCAGGATTTACGCTAAAACTGAAAAATGAATTTCCTCAGAACTTGATTGAAGGATGTGGTATTGGTCAGGCAAGAATCCATTACATTTTGATGTGGATCCACACAAAGGATTTCTTAACATTGCAAGATAGGGCATGTCTCTTGAGATTTTCATTATTAATGAGTAATTCATGGATGTTGATGAAATAGAAATCGGGCACATGAAGCGGTCTGATATCTATATGTGTGTGTGTGTGTGTGTAGTTTGGTGCAGCATGATTCAATTTAAGAGGACTGTTGGGCCTTGGGAGAGGTATGCGCTCTACTGAGTACCATTCTAAATATAACATATATTTTATTCTTCAGTGATACACACATATGTTCCCATCTCAACCATTTCATGACTGAAGCTCCAACTGTATTTTTATTCCTTCTACTTTATCAGGGCCTGACTCACAGCTGAGCTACCTGCTGACTTTTTGGGAGGATACCAGCAGCAGTTACTGCCCCAGAGTGGGGGCACTGAGACCTGCAGTTTGAGGGTAGAGTGTGTGGGACAGATGTCAGTGTTCATGGCTGTGGTGTGTAGCGCAGGTACTTCTTGCCAGAGGGCAGGTCTTTGGTGTAGACGCCTTCTGGGAACAAAGCAGCAGCCTCCTCCTCAGACATGTTCGGAGGAACCATCACACAGTCTCCAAGCTGTGCGAAGAAATAAGGCTATTACATGCAGCGGGAGGCCAGTTACCCTTTCTTTTTATCTTTGCTGCTGGCCGTTGAAATATGTCACACTGTACTGTACCTTCCAGTCGGCAGGTGTGGCCACTCTTTTCCCTGCTGTGAGCTGGAGTGAATCCACCACCCTCAGGATCTCATCAAAGTTGCGTCCTGTGGTGGCGGGGTAGAGCAGCGACAGTTTCAGCCTTTTGTCGGGGCCAATGATAAACACCTGACCAGAACCAAGGAAAGAGATGGAGACTTAGAGAGATGATGACTTATAGCCGTGAGGGGAGATCAGACACAAGTTATTTAGGCAGCCTATAAAAGAAACAAATGTAATTCTGTGTTTGGCAGAAGAGACGCTTACACAGCGGGCAGTTAGTGGCATGCCATCGTTGTCCTTCTCATCTGGGTCCAGCATGCCCAGGGCCACTGCCAGCTCCCGTTTACTGTCCGCTATGATGGGAAAGGGCAGCGAGCAGCAGGCCGACTCCTCACAGTTGTACACCAGAATGTCCTAATTAGTACAGAGATGCATGGCATGGTCAGGCAGAGTTTTTACAGCTTTTTCTTTTATAAACAGTTGTATGACGACATATAAGTGAAAAAAATTGAGTTTTATAGTGAGAAATCTCAAATGGCAAAGATTGTGACGAGGTGGCAATTTTGAGATGATGACTGTACATATCTCTGCTAAAACTAGCTTTGCTCTGCTTCACTTTAAATCTCTCAAACGTTTATATAGATTCATATAGACCCTGTAGTTACAGAGATAAATGCAATTCATTTTGTTGACATGTCATTTTCAAGCAGGGGCCTAGGAAAACACCAGATTTTAGATTAATCCAGTTTATTTCCATGCTGATAAAGCTCCAACATGTATAAACAGATATTTTGAGTAATATTTACATTAAAGACAAATAATATTTGAAGGACCGTGTGTAGCTCAGTTAGTAAATGCTAAACTGGAAACAACAAAAAGATTTTTATCAATACTGCGCCTGCAAAAGAAAATCCTGATGGTGATGTTTGATATTGGATCACTTGATTTTCCAGTAAGCATCTCATATGTGCAAATCAAGACAAGCCAAGGTGTCTCTGTTAGCAGGTTGGAAGGTGACATGTAACTATACTTTCAACAGTGTTATAGGAGCAAGGGCAGATATTTTAGCTCTCATTGGTCAAGGTCACCCTGGCTCTGACCTGGATACCAAAACTATTGCCTTATAAGTCGAAGAAAGAAAGGGCTCTTATATAATAACACAATGAGACTAAAGCTCTGTACTTTATGGACTAGTGTATTAGAAAAACATAAGAAATATGTGTTTCAATGTGTAGATATTACCATGTATTTATCTAATCTAATCCTGTTAGGACGAGGGTCTTGTGTGACATTTGTATTATTTTCTAAAGGAGAATAGTCTCAGTATAAGTGGGGGAGCACGTGCTGGAACCTTCACACCTTGCTCCAGCCGTGGTGATCCTCCAGGCAGTCGACAGACAGCGCGATCATTTTGACGCCGCGCTTGCTGAACTCCCCATGCAGCCTGGCAGCTCTGCCCAGCTCTGTGGTGCACACAGGGGTGTAGTCCCTGGGGTGGGAGAACAAGATTCCCCACCTGGGTTGAAAAGAGATGACGGTGAAGCTGTGTCGGTGGTGTACCTCAGGGCCGGTGCTTCAGCCCTGTCTGAGATTTCATCTTACTCAGTTTCCTCCCAGTGGGTTTCATAATATACCTTAAAGCTGTGGTGCGTGACTGACACCAAACTGGCAGGTTGTGACCTCTATATTAAAAAATGACTAAAGGATTTTTTTCTTCATGAAGTCAGCAAGTTCATGGTGCATCATGCTTGTGTGTGTGAGTGGGTCATAGAAGCTATGCATCACTTGATCATTAACAGGGTATAATATTCACTTTCTATCCCACATCATGTTTTTTATTGGCCAGACACCATTGGGTGTACTTTAGATCTACCAGTGGAAAAGTCTAAAGCAGAAGTCAGTAACAGGAAATGTCCTGGACCAAGTTCTCTCTTTAGCAACTGCATCCACAAGCCTATGGATCAATATTCGAAAAATAAACGACAAGCATGATCAACAATCCTACTTACGAATCACCGAGAAATTCATGGAGTTTAATTTTGCCAGTGGTGGTCTCTGCCTCGAAGTCAGGAAACACATCCCCGAGCAGCAGTCCCGGCATATTCGATGTGAGCGTGGAGTTGTGAGTGCGTTCAACAGCTGCTCTGATTATTGCAAGATGAGGAAGAGGCGGAAACTTCCTTCATGTGATAAGCGTATTCATTTTTACAGAAGCACCAGTTTAGTGTGGCCTATTACAAAAGCGCCTTTTACGCACAGGGTCAAGTTTACGCACAAGCCTAATTTCCAGCCAGGAACTTTGCCTCCACTTGCATATGTTGCTTAGAATAAAGTAAAGCATTTCTGTTTTCGGACATAAGCATCATCAACTTTTCTTTCATGTTAATCGGTAGGATAATGCAGCCACGTGACGTGACCACAGCAGTCCAGTTCTGACCTGGTCACATTAAACCTCCTGACTGTCCAGTTTGCCGGATGTTTTACATCTGAGCTGCAGGATTAAAGTATTTACTGGCCACAGGTGCTCCCTAAAGAAGGGCGGATACATTTGCGAGGACGCGCCATCAAACCAAAATGTCCTCAGCGACGTCCAGACGGAACAGTAGCCGTGGGACCCGCGCATCATTCGAGTGCCATGTCCGCCGCCGAGGCTCCAGCTGTTCTTACGTCTCCTCTGGAGCCCCAACCGAGGACTTTGCCGTCAGTTTAAGTCAGCCGATGTTCGCCATAGCGCTGCGTTTTTTGCTGGCGATAGATCTGTGGCTGTCCAAGCGGCTCGGCGTGTGCGCCTGTGAGGAGTCTCCGTGGGGCAGCATACGGCCCCTGGTGCGCCTGGTGGAGTTCTCCGGACATGTCATCCCGTGGCTCATCGGCACCCTGTACACTCTTCTCCGTGGAGAGACGGCGGCGGAGCAGGAGGTCATGCTGAATTTAGCCCTGGGTAACAAAGGCTCTCCTGTTTTGAATTGGAAGGAATTGAAGTCAGATGTGAGACCTCCAGTAGACGGAGACCTCTTAAAACTGTCTTCCAGATAAATAACCCTTTGACTTATTCTGCAACAAAATATACAGTATATTTTACTAACCACATTTTTACTTGAAAAATCATCCTGAACACAGCCGTCTCTGATGTTTACGCATCTTTATATTTACCACCACATTTGCTTCTGGTAAAGTCAGTGCATTATTACCCACATTTGTGCCATTTCCAAAGTGAAACCTTTGGCACTCACCAGTGGCTTTGTTGAGCTGCGTGATGATAATGGATATTGAAATAGCACAGCATTACAGGCAGCAGCCTCATGTGTCCACCCAAGTGTCAAAGCTTTTTTAGCCACTTTAATCTATAGGATGAGAGTGTTTTGGAAATATTATGGGGAATCTTATAACTCTTCTTATAGACGAATCAGAGCAGAACTGTAAGGTCTGGGCCTTAATGGCACAAGTTAACTGATGTAAAAAAGAACATTGATGTGAAGTGAGCAGTAATAACATTCCTTAAAAAATGACATTATAGACAGTTGCTTTTTAAATAGGTTTGATATTTGGTTTGATTTGAGTCAATGCAAACTGTATCTCTGTCTTCCTCACAGCTCTGTTGTTGGACCTGCTGCTGGTCAGAGTTGTGAAGACTCTGGTGAGACGTCGGAGGCCTGCACAGAACCGCTCTGACATCCTCTCCACCTTCTTCGTGGAGCGTTACTCATTCCCTTCAGGCCATGCCACACGGGCCGCAATGTGTGCTCGGTTCTTCCTGGCCCAGCTGGTGGACACAGCCTCCATGCGGGTGCTGGTTGTGGGCTGGGCCGTCCTAGTGAGCCTGTCCCGGCTGCTGCTCGCCAGACACTATGTGACAGATGTGGGCTTTGGCTTGGCCATGGGTTACTGTCAGTACAGCTTGGTAGAAAGGCTGTGGGTGACCTGGGACTGCCTTCAGGACGTACTGCTCATGCGACTGCGAGAGAGACTCAACAGGGCTTATGGTGGTCTCTGGATGGCAGCTTGGAAACATTAGGTTTGGTGGAGCTGTGTGGTGTGTCAACATGAGTCTGTGTAACTGAAACATTGAATTGAATTGTATCAAAGTGACTCCAGTATTTCTATGTTCTATGCAAGAATTAGGTGGCAATATTCAAATTGATGGTGTGGGCTGTCACTGGCAAGTTGTTCATGCAAATTGTTTGCACCACAAACCTGGTGACTAAGTCACAGCCTGAAACCAAAGCTAACGCTAACTAAACCTTTTTTTAAATATTAAAATCAAATTAAAATACTTTGTAGGTGTAGTTGTGTATCTTACTGAGACAGTGTATGAGGATGAGTGGTCTAACTGCTGTGTGAAAAGTGGCTCAGTGCTTCCTAACAGGGGCTTGTGCTTCCTGACAATGCCACAGTGCTTCCTGACAGTCACCATCTCATTTCCAGACAGTCGTATCACACTGTGTGGTTTTGTACTCTATGACAACACACTGTGGGTTCTTTCTATTTGTGTGATCGCTGGTGGGGGGAGTTCAACTCACACTCACCCAAGTTTCCATCAGCTGCTCCCCTGTCTCCTGACTGTCATTAATACTGTTATACATATCACATCTCATCTTACACAGTTGATAAACATACCAATCACAATTTTGAAAATAAACTAAAATCAAATGTGCTGAGTTTATATTAAAGAAGGTACAGAGAGCGGACAAGTCCTCTTGTTTTACCAGTGCATAACTGCATTAGAATAAACTGCTCATCAGTAGAGCTGGAAGATGTGTGTAAAATGCAGATGCAGCTGGTTGTCCACAGAGGGCAGTGCATAATCATAAGAAAAATATGCAGCTGCAAAGAGCAACATGGGGTTTGTGCAGTGCACGTAACCACAAGAGCTGGGTCTGAACTTTGTCACCACTAGTGTTTATATCTAAGGCTTCAAGTACACAGGCATTTAATATTTATCTTTCCATGCAGGTGAGGAGTGGGTGTGTATGTGTCATCTCAGGACAGGGGTTCTTATTAAAACAATAAGAAATAAGTCCAAATACAAACTGCATCCATAACTGTGCTGTTAACAGTCAGATTTAACATGGTGATGAATTGGCTCCATCTTTTCCACATAGCCACAAAACACAGGCGCCTTACTTGTACTTGACAACAACAGAAGTGTTTATAGATGACACAGCAACAAACAAAAATAGCCTCACCAAAAGTGTTACGCTTTTTACCACTTCCTACTCAGTTAACCTTGGGGATATTTAGGTGATAAAGTTTAATAGTTTAAATAAATTAAAATATGTGAATAGATTAGCGCTATGAGAAGCTGTTCATGCATAAATGAATATTTCATTTGCAGATATGCATGCTGTTACACACACACATACATGCAATGTAAATACCATATATATATATATATATATATGCATGGATGAATAAAGGTATGAGTATGAAGTCATATGACTGTGAAAGTATATAGACATATATACCCTATAAATGTATATTTATCTGTATAAAACATTTAAATTAACTATATATATAGAGAGAGAGAGAAATTGTATGTTTTTGTAAATTATCTCTTATGCCAGAGACAGATAACTGTTTTATGTTCCCTTGTAGATTATCGTTACCCTTTATAAACACTTTTTCAGGGAGTAGCATAAAGTTTCTGTAGATTGTTTGTCAAATTGAAAACAAAAATTAGAACACAGGCAGAAGTTTTTCTCTAAGTTTTTATTGAGAACTTAAATAACATTTATGAGCAGACAACAAAAATATTTAACTTTTTAAACTATCAGTTCTGTCACTGCTGCATGAATATTTCTGCATTGTCGTTATACATCTTATTTACAGTACTAATAGACAAAATAGATTTTAATGATGTAAAAACACATAGATGACAAGTCTTACAATAACCTCAATAACATTTTAATGAGTATATGTTTTGTCACATTCAATTGCACCAGCACAGTCCAGTAAACAGCAGCAGTTTCTCTGTCTGTTTCCTCTAGCTGCTGCCATGATTGGCTCTGCCCACTCTGATGTCATAGGTGACCATGTGGAAGTTGTCCCATGCATACAGCTTCCTCTGGGCGTGGTTATAGTCCAGCATGCTGTTGTAACGGTACTTGTTCTTGAACGGCACGGCAACCGCCCGCCGCGTGCCAGTGGCTGTGTCAAACACGTAGTTGATGGTGGTGTTAGGTGCAGTGTAGCTGGCCACCGTGTACAGACGGCCACACACCATGAAAGCGTTGGCCACTGTGTTCTTCCTGATGTTGGTCTCCCAGCTCTTCTTCACGGCCAGGCTCTCTGGGTCCAGCTTGGCGATCACAATGGCACCTTTTGCCTTGCTCGTGCTGTAGATGGCCCACAAGCCTTGTTCGTCCACCGCAAGGTCGATGTCTGTGAAGCCTCCCCAGGAGTAAGGGTACTGGCCATGGAAACCAGCGTGAGGTAGCTCCAGACGTGACGCCAGGCTCTCAGAGGTCAGGTTGTAGCGGATCAGGGTACGGCTTCGTTTGCGCTGGTAGTAGAGAGACCCGCGGTAGATGGTCGCCCCTGTGCTCTCCACAGGCTCTGGCAGGACCAAGACCTTCATGGGGAAGCCTCGAGAGAATTGATCCATGTCTTCAAATGCAAAGAGCTGGCGGACATCTTTGCCCACTGCGTCAATGCGCCACACAGTCTTGTTGGTGTAATAAGGGCCCTGAGACTCGGGGTCCTGCAGCCACACCCCATATTTGCCTGTGATACTGTCAGCCTTCCTGTGCAGCACAGGATCTCCTACTGACAGCAGCTCTCCACAGTCTATGCAGGAAAAAAGAGAGCTCAAGTTCATGGTATATTCACCCAAATATTTACAAAGAAATTAAATTGCATCAACACCCTGCCAAACTTTGGGGAAATTTGAGCATCTACTACCTGTGATGGTTTGATTGCCATTTGGAAGAAGGTGGGATGCTGGAACCTCTGTCACCTCAGCCTTCATCTCCTGGTACGCCCCATTCTTAACATCATTTGCAGGGTCTGAAGAAAAGAGAGATGTATAAAAAAACCATTGTATTACCCAAAAGTCCAAATTTGGGAGGGCCTTGGAGAAGAATATTGCTGGAAATAGTCAACTTGTGTATTGGTAAGCTACAGATTAGCCCAAACACACAGATTACATCAACCTGTCAGTTACTAATATATTTGCCTCAGGGCAATAGCAGGTTCAACTTTTAACCCTACTATTGTTCTCCTGAAGATGATGATCATGCCAAGTAAACAAGACAAGCACGAGTGACAAAGCCATAAAAGAGACTGTGTTGTAAATTCCTATCCCCTTACTCAACCTGGGATGGCTAACTGCAACCTGACCTGTTGCAATGGGAAACTTTTCATAGCCAAGGTCAGCCACAGCCATGAGAAACAGAAGCAGTCATCAGCAAAATATACAGAAAAATACAAAGAGAAAAAGGAAATGCTTGGGGATGTACATACCACTGGCAGGTCTGCTATCATGCTTAGCACCCCCTGATGTGTGTGTCTGCTTGCAGGGCTTCTGCCTGAGGCTCTCTGCCTCCTGGCTCAGCTCGCCCACCCTCTTCTGCAGCTCCTGGAGCTGCCTGTTCAGACGCTCCTTGTCCTGCTGTAGCTGGTTTCTTTCCCTGGTGACCTGGGCATAAGCTTCCTGGAGACCCTCTTCCATGTTAGACTCGACCTTTGTCCTCGTGCCTCCGTCCGCTCCGGCCAGGAGCCGGCTGACCAAAGCCTCCAGCAAGATGACCCGTGACATGACTCCGTCCATCTCTGGTTTCACGCTGCCTCCAGGGCAGCTGGCCTCCTCTGGGCTGGCCACAGTGAAGGTGTAGTGGCAGCGTCCAGCAGGGTCATTGGAGCGGCGGAGGGAGGCTCGATCTGTGGCCTGGCTCTGGCTTGATGGGATCAAGCAGGACAGACACAGGAGAGAGACTTGGAGCCACATTTTGAAAGAGGCAGACACAGTCAATGATCTTCAGGTTTAGGTGTGCCTGCAGTTGTTAACCTTCCTTCAGAGAATATAGATACTTTTTTCTTTGAGCTAGTCTCTTTCTTCCCGAGTGTCACTGGTCCGTGCAGGTCAGTGTCTGAATCCCAGCAATGCTCAGAGAAGGATATTTATACAGTTTACAGTCAGGGAGTGGGAGGGGACAAGGAGTGTGGCAGGGAATGAAATAGCCAAGGGGGTGTGCAAAGGTCCACGTGTTTCTTATTTTTGCTGCTGGTTGGGTGAGGTGGGCTGAAAGGGACAAACATTGAGAAAATCACAGCATCAGAGGAAAACTTGACATTTCAATGTTTGTTTGTTTTTCCTCTATAGTCTCAGCCGTCGGTGTGTGTCTGCAGATTGTTTTGACTGGACAGCATCTCTTTATGGCTGTCGCCTGAGGCGCTGCTGTGGACTTCCTCTTTGATAGTTTTGCAATTAAACCACTGTGCAATTAAAAGGAAACAGTTTATGCCGAGGACAAATTTGGGCAATAGACGGCAAGTGTTTCAGAATTCTTGAATCTGAAGCCATTTTCTAGCTCCAGGGCACGTCTTTCACAGCAGGACAGGATGTCTGGCACAGGCTGGCTACCTGAGCAATAGGAGAAGATTCTGATGTAGTTGCTCAACCTTTCTAAAACAAAACACCATATTTGTTTAATTCTAACCTACATGCCTATAAATCAGCATGACTAGTGACTTAGCATGCTAATATTTGCCCAAAAAAGTTATTAGAATCATCCTGAAAAGGACATGAACGTCTGCCAGATTTCATGAGTATGCATTTCACAAAAAAAAAAAAAAAAAACACAACCTCATGCTGATGAGGAAATGTCAAGTGAAATTAAAATTGACTGATGGGCAGCTGTGGATTAGGAAAAAGAACAGGTTATCCACTAACCAGACTCTTGGTGGTTTGATCCCAGTCTCCTCACTTCTGTCAAGACACTGAATCCCAAATTGCCTCTGACTGCTGTGCCGAGTGTGCGATGGATGTGTGATAGAGAAAATGCTGCACATAGATGCTCTGTATGAATGTGTGTGCGAATGGCAAAGTTGCTCTGTAAAGCTATTGGTGGAGCCACAAGAAATGTGAGGTGCTCAGCAAAGTCATTAGGATTGATTCTACAGGCACCACGAATATCAGTACCAAATTGCATGAGCATTGATGGGATCATTGTTTAGAAATATCAGTAAAAACTAAAATGTTAACATCATTGGGGTGTTATTGTCGGTATGATTCAGTAATCTTCATGATCTGG